ATATATGTGTGTGTGTGTGTGTGTGTGTGTATGTATCATAGCCTATTAGGTTGTAATGTTTAGTTTTATCCTAATCACTGGCTTAATTTTCTTATTCTTTTTAGTCTATTTTTACTCTGCTTTTATTCTATTTAAGTTTCCAAAATGGTATGGCATTCAACACTAGGTGAGAGAAAAACAGTATTTTGATTTTCTGTATGTCCTGAACATATAGTGAATTGACAATAAAAATGTTTGATCTTTAATCTTGATTATGTGAAAGATAGATAGATGGATAGATAGAGATAGCAATAGATAGACACATTTTGTCTGATTTACAGTGAGGAACAGAAGTATTTGAACACCCTGCGATTTTGCAAGTTCTCCCACTTAGAAATCATGGAAGGGTCTGAAATTCACATTGTAGGTGCATTCCCACTCTGAGAGACAGAATTATAAAAAAAATTTCAGGAAATCACATTGTATGATTTTTAAAGAATTTATTTGTCTTTCACTGCTGAACATAAGTATTTGAACACCTGAGAAACAGCAAGAATTCTGGCTCTCAAAGACCTGTTACTGTGCCTTGAAAAAGTCCACCTCTACTAGGCCACTCCAGAACCTTGATATGCTTCTTACGGAAGACATCCTTGGTTGTCCTGGCTGTGTGCTTCGGGTTGTTGTCATGTTGGAAGACCCAGCCACGACTCATCTTCAATGCTCTGACTGAGGGAAGGAGGTTGTTGCTCAAAATCTCACAATAAATGGCCCCATTCATCCTCTCCTTAATACAGTGCAGACGTCCTGTCCCCTTCGCAGAAAAGCACCCCCAAAGCATGATGTTACCACCCCCATGCTTCACAGTAGGGATGGTGTTCTTGGGATGCAACTCATCCTTCTTTTTCCTCCAAACACGACGAGTGAAGTTTAGACCAAAAAGTTCTACTTTGGTCTCATCTGACCACATGACTTTCTCCCATGCCTCCTCTGGATCATCCAAATGGTCTTTGGCAAACTTCAGACGGACCTGGACATGTGATGACTTGAGCAGGGAAACCTTCCGTGCAATGCATGATTTGAAACCATGACGGCGTAGTGTTCTACCGACAGTGACCTTTGAAACTGTGGTCCCAGCTCTCTTCATGTCATTGACCAGCTCCTCCCTTGTAGTTCTGGGCTGATTCCTCACCTTTCTCATCATCCGTGATACCCCACGAGGTGAGATCTTGCATGGCGCCCCAGTCCGAGGGAGACTGACAGTCGTCTTTAGCCTCTTCCATTTTCCAACAATTGCTCCAACAGTGGATCTGTTTTCACCAAGCTGCTTGGCAATTGCCCCGTAGCCCTTTCCAGCCTTGCGGAGGTCCACAATTTTGTCTCTGGTGTCTTTTGACAGCTCTTTGGTCTTGCCCATGGTAGTAGTTGGCGTCTGACTGATTGTGGGGTGGACAGGTGTCTTTAAAGAGCTCAGACAGGTGCTACTAATTTAGATTAATGAGTGGAGTAGAGGTGGACTTTTTCAAGGCACAGTAACAGGTCTTTGAGAGCCAGAATTCTTGTTGTTTCTCAGGTGTTCAAATACTTATGTTCAGCAGTGCTAGACAAATAAATTCTTTAAAAATCATACAATGTGATTTCCTGAATTTTTTTTTTAAATTCTGTCTCTCTGAGTGGGAATGCACCTACAATGTGAATTTCGGACCCCTCCATGATTTCTAAGTGGGAGAACTTGCAAAATCGCAGGGTGTTCAAATACTTCTGTTCCTCACTGTATACTCTGGAGACCATACATTAGATTTTGTAGATTACATGGAAATCTGGCTTGTTTCATTTTTTAGAAACAACATTAGGAACCAAACTTGTTGGTTGAAGGGAAATTTCTGACTGAAAATTTAAATAAAACCTTTTGGACTGTTTGGATTTTGTGATAGTGAGGCACTTGTACCTTCTGGCTGGCAGTGTTGCGCTGGCAGAGGGAGTATACCTCTCCACAGACATGCTGCAGGGCACTGGGTAAATCCACACCTCTCTGCAGCTGGCAGGACAGCAGAGTGGCAGCATGGAGGAGAGAGGCCATTGATGAGGTAGGGGAATCTGAAAGACATAAGCCAGGGTTTTTACCAGCTCTGCAGACTGAATGACAGTACGTTCAACAGTATTTGCTGTCATCAATCAGCACTTACCCCAGATGGCACATTTAATGCTTTTATGTATTTCAATCAGCAGATCACACAGACAGTCCCCAGTCACACCAGCAGTGTGAAGCAGGGTCTTCAGGTCCTGTGTGTCCCAGCAGATCCCCTCATGTTCCCCTGGGATGTAAACCTCTACCCCTCTGTTCCTCATGGCTCTAGAGAGCTCCCCATGCACAGGGTTCATAGTAAGGAACAACCTGCAGACCACGTAGATCAGCTGAGTATGGGTTTATTTAATGACTTCATCAAAAATTGAACCAGCTTTAATTTTTCTAATACCTGAAGTTAGGATGTGGGGTGATTTGGGGGGTCTTCCCATCTATGACACCACGTTCATTGATGGTGAGGGTTCCACCAGGTTCCAGAAGAGCATTGAGGCGATCCAGGACAGATGCACTAAGCGCATAATACACAATTAGTTCAAATCGAATTAAATCAGTGAGAGCGTTACTGTTTTGTGCAAATACACTTCAAAGTTAAATGACTTGATTAGCCAAATTTAAAGAAGTTATTTATGTACAAAGGAAACAATAACATTCTGACTAGCTATGCACAGATAGTGGGTGTAATACATTTAAAAAAAAAAAAAAAAATGAAATGAAATTAAGCTCCCCGTGACCCTCTTTGGTTAGCCAGTAATTTCAAGTTTTTATAAAAAAAACAAAACAAACAACAACAATAAATTAAAAAGTGGCAATCAAAATGCTGGCAAGAATGCTTACAAGCTGGGCTACACTGGCAAAATCTGTGTGCAGAGAGGGGCTGCTCTCTAGTGCTCACCCGGCTCAGAAAGAATGTTACAAGGGTGTGTTTCATTGCTACAATTTCACCTCAAAACAGCAATATCATGGGTTTCCAGCAAGCTAAAAGCAGGGAAAATGTCCAAGTCATTATGTCATTGTGGGAATGTATTTGCATTATATATCTGCAGTTTTAAATAAAATGTAACTGAAGTGTAACAGGTAAGTTTCAAATTTGTCTCGTAAAATAAATTCTTTCCAGACAACTGACTGGCAAGAAAAACTCCTAGTGGAATCCCTGGTGTGTACATATTGTAAATACCTGTCTAGGAAGTGTGACTTACTAGGATTGCACTAGTTTTTTTTTTTTTATCCTTACATACCATTTATGAGGAGTTTTAAGTAGATTAATAAATAGACTGATGAGTGAAGAAACACTTCCCTTTTCTCACCTGCAGAAATTGACATTGTCCATGAGCAGCCAATCACCAGCCTGCAGGGCCTGGACCAGCATACTGTCCAACCACTCAAAGCCTCCGTTTGTCCAGCCATCTTCCAGCTGGGCCAGACGTTCCTTCAGCAGCATAAAGTCCATCTGCAGCTTGGACATGTCTGGAGGACAAACACAGCCATGTTACAGTACTGGAAACACATTCACATGTTTTCTCATTCTCATTCTTACATGCAGTTTTTCCTCTTTTTTTCAGACAGTTTCTAGTTATCCAGCAGTGTTTGGACATTACCAGTGAACACTTTAAGCTTGGTGTTGAGTTTCTGCAGGAGGAGGATGATGACCTCCAACTTGTTCAGTGCCTCCGAGTTGACCATTCCTCCGGTTGTTTGCGGCCCTTCCTCCTTCAGCCAGTGGCAGAACAGGCCCCACGTCTGCAGCAGGAACTCTGTGTCCTGGATGCCGACATCCAAGGACATCAGGCCCCGTCTTATTACCATGGCAACTATATAATCCATGCTTTCTAGCACTTGTTGCCAGGATCGCATGATATCCACCTGGAATAAGGAAAAGTGAAGCGTGATGTGGTCTAATGTTCTAAGGCAATAAAAGCGCTTTGAGATGCTAGATAACTGACTTCCAGGTTACCTGTTCGAAGCCTCCCAACAGCTCCGTGGTGTCCATGGCACTGTTCATGGCCATGACTCTGAGGCGATGTCCTGTCAGCAGAGCCAGCAGCCTCACCAGGCTGGTCTTTCCACTGGCTGTGGGGCCAACTAGTATTGTCATCCAGCCCATTTCCACACACTTCATGAGGGACTCCAAGGGTCGCAGGGCCTGGTGTGTGATGGACAATGGGGGGTCTAGGGCCACAGGGGCTCCTCCACTGCGCTGCAGGACAGAGAAGCCTACCTACAAGGGCATTTCAGAAGAAAACAAACCCTTAAAGGTAGGTTTGTTGATTCTTTTCCGAAGCTACATAACTTGAAATTCTCTTTTCATCCCAAAGGCAATGAATACATTAAATGCATTGACAACATAAAGAAATGATTATCTGTGGTAGCAGCAGGGCTGAAAAAAGCCCGACCAAAAATTTTACTTGGCCACCACCACTGGATGGCCTACCTACCTGTCAACCTAACTTCCTCCTTGCATGCACACTGTCCTTGCATGAGCCAAGAGTCTCCCACAAGGCCAGGCAGGCAGACATGCTACCGATCTGTAGTGATAGCTAAAGCTATTTGAGAAAGTTACAACTAAAAATAATTTGGATGCTAGAAGTAAAACCAGAATTAACATTGGTGTGGCTTCTGAATGATAGCGACAACTGAGAGAACAAAAGGGGCTGACAAGAGATTCCATGGTGGCCGTGTTTATACTGGACAGGTAATTATTGGTTTTGTTTCATTTTGGGGACACTCATTAGTTTCCAGACATCTGTAAGCAGTAGTCAAGCACTGCATGTTGCAGTGTGTGTTGGAGGAGTGGCTTTGGAGAGAAGTCAGAATGAGGGGATGATGATGATGGCTTCAGTTGGCTACTTTCAAAAATCGAGCTTCCTCTTGCTGGTTTTTCCAAGATCACCAACCCTACCTTTAACTGTGATAACAGAATTTTAAACATTTGCTGGTGAGAAGCAGGATGAGGTTTTGGTGTTTGGACTAACCTGCAGGTTTAGTGGAGTGATGTGGAACTGTCTGGAGCCAGTATAAGGCTCAAAGTCCTCCCCAAACACCTTCCTGAAAACTGAGAGCACCTGTGTGGGAAAAGAGGACAGTCTGCTTTATTCCAAGCTGACAAAAAACAGGGAAAAGGCTTTCCAAATTTTGCATCAGTAACAGTAAATAAAAGATAGCCACTGAATGCAGAGAATTCAATGTGTTCAACATGTGCACAGCTACAGGGACTTAACGGTGTGGAAAATATACACAGGTGCTGGAACATTTTTGGAACTGTAAGCATCAGTTATTAATATTACTATCATCATCAGCTAAAAGTGCTTAGATCTCATAAACAGTGAGGCCTACACCAAACTTGTCAGATACAGCAAGTTCAAAAAGTTACAATTCACTAACTACTCAGACAACAAAACGCATGTCAACAGTATAATAATTATTTTTGTTTTTGCCCATAACTTCCAAATCACCCAAGCTGGACCATAAATTCCATTTTCCTTGGCATCTGTGCATGATTTCACATAATTTGGGAATAGGAACCCATCCCTCACTGATTCTGAATTATGTCCAAAACTTTTAAATGTGTTCATCTTTAATTTTCACCTTTCGCACACCTGGTCTATATTGGCTGTTGCTCTGGCTCCTGATGGTGGTTTTAAAGAAAAACCAGAACTGCCACCATGTCTTTGTCCTTTTATGGAATAAATTTACTCTTACTGTATATGTGTTAAACATAAGTGGATTTCTTGGTTTCATATACTGATTAAGTTTCTTGTGAATCCTTTGATTAAAGTAAATTTGCCTAAACCAAATACCTGAGCCTTGTCAGCTTGTGTTCTCATCCTGTCAGCATACACCAAAGCCACATGCTGGCCCGGACTGAAAAATCCCGGTGACTGGTCGGCCAGCATTAGCTGACACCAGCGGAACATGTCGCGCAGGTTGAACTCCCAGGGGCTTCCCTTCTGACCCCACCGCCGCTCCACACACACCTCCTGGACAAGCTGGGAGGATGGGGACAGAAAAAGCCATTTAAGCCTCTGTAACAGCTTTAAACATGTGGAACACTTCCTATTAAGGGAACTGCCAACCGGCTACATCTTCACTTCGGCATATACGTATACAAGTTTCTCCAACACATAGTCAACAATATATGTGGGAAGAGAAACCTACCCTGTTGCTGAACTCCACCATTTTAGCAATGATTTTTTTATCAATGGTGGGGAAAATGGAGTCTGCTATGAACTCCATGTCTTTGATGGTGAGCTGGTCGACAAAAACCTAGAAATACAGCAGTAGTCAGCTTTCATAGGTAAAACAGAAAAAAAATACAACTCATTCTGTAATTATTGAACTCACTCCAAGTTCTCTTTTCAAAGACTACAGGAGAGCTACTACATCAGTGGTGCATGTGAACTACCATTACAATACATTCTGTGGGCTCAAATAAGGTTGGATAAGATGTTCAGGGACACTTATAATGCCTGTGATTGTTTATTAGCCTTTGTAAAACTGCAAAATCACTAATAAAATCTTTGGTGGAAGGACTTATTGTACAAATAATTTGACTAAATTTGCACAGATTGTATTAACTATCTCATTAACTGTCACACAAAGATATATATATATTTTTTTCTATAATTACAAATCCTTTCTACACACTCGCTTTTTTAATTTTTTAAAGTTTTACAAAACATGACCAATAACCAGAGACAGTTAAGGTATTTCTGAAAATGAGTTCACCAACTCATCCTTGAGCTCACAGATAGGCAAGATCTTTTATTTTTCGCTAGGATAATTCTTTACAGTGATAACCAACGTACTGTATCTACAGTAAAAGTGTGACAGGTTAATGGTTGCCTTTCCCAGTGATTTTCTTCATAATCTTGAGTTTGTGAAATGCCAAAAAAAAAATGCTCATCACATTTTCCAGAGCCTAACATGAGCAGAATCCTCCTATTTGAGAAGCTGTAACTACTGGATGTTTGACATGTAACTGACTGAAAATCAATTATCAAAACTGTTGCTGATTCACTGTCTGTCAATTAACCAATCGGTAAAGTAACTGATCAGTCCAGGATCTAAGTAATTCCATAACTGAAAAGAATATAGCTATTTTTTTTACAAGATTTTGGTGTTCAATCACAATGGCTAATGGTTTTCTGTGCCCTCATACAGAGCAAGAAGTACAGCTAGAGGATGAGAACAATATTTAAATACTGATCAATGGAATATTTATGTTGAATGCACTCAATTAAAATATGAATAAAATACTGACTTAACACCTGATTTATCAAACTGACTTCCTATTAAGACTGCTGAAATTACCTCTGTTCTTACTGTAGCTCATGTGGGCCTTTTTAGTACAAAAAGAACAAAATACATGAAAGTATGTGTAAGCATCTCAACTGATTCTTACTTGTGTGAATCTATTGAGGAAGGATTTGGGCAGTCCCTTGCGCCCACCACCTTGAGTAAAGGGGTTCTGGCAGCCAAAGATCTTGGTCTTCTCATACTGAACGTGGAAGCTCATTCCCAGCTCAGGAATATAGATCTCTGCTCGGTGATCAAAGCAGGCATTCAGACCCTCCAACACCGACTGAGAGGCCAGGTTCAGCTTTCAGCATGGAGAACAAGGCAAGTCAGTTTAAAAACTCAGATCAGCATTGTCAGATTAATATTTGTTGTGCAATGTTTTGCAAACAAAAACAAATGCTGTGATAAAAGCTGTACAAATGTGTGAACCTACCTCATCCAGCACAACCCAGTGGCCTGCCTTCAAGGCAGCTAAAAGGGGGCCATCACGCCATGCAAACTCTCCTCCTTTTCCTCCCTCCACTGGGAGATCTGTCCCAAACAAGTCAGTCACATCCTGCCAGAGGGCACACATCATTCAGCATCAGAGCGTTGCTAGTCTTTGAAGCTCACTCCAGAGCACAATAAAGAGCTCCTGAACATTCATATAAAGGTGTTTACCGTTTGCTCTGACAGGTTGATTCGAACCAGCTGGTTCCCAGATGCCTTTGCCAGTGCTGCTACCAGGCTAGTCTTCCCCACACCAGGAGAGCCCTCAAGCAGCACAGGCCTCTGCAGCTTCAGTGCCCGCAGAAGCCTCTGGGCATTCATTGCGGTAGTGCCCGCTGCAATGGCGTAGTCTGAGAGGTTGCGGCTCTCGGTCTGGGACCCTGGGTGGACATACAGAGCCATCTGATTCAGTCATGACAAGGGAAACAACTACAAACATATTAGCAAAGAAATATTGTATTAGACACAAGAAGGCACACTAATGTGGTACACTTTAGAGAATGTATTGATACATAGTAGGTCTAAGTCAAAAAACTAAAGTCATGAAACTGCAAACAACACATTGTACTGTATAGGCAGATGTGGGCGGGGCCTACATCAGCAGATGCAGCTCTGTGATAAGTTGTTAAATCAATCAAATGTGTAGTACACAAAAACATGAGAAGCAGACAATATAACATGTGGTCCACATCACGGACTACACCAGAATCCTATACATTTGTGAAGAAGTCCATACCTAAAGCAATGTAGAAGGGGTCAATGCCAAAGAAATCTTCACCCCAATTGGGTTCCCTTGGCAGGCTGCTATCATAGACTCTCAGGGAGTCCAGCATCTCTTGATCCAGCTTGGTCATCTTACTGAGCCGCTGCTGCAGGAAGCTCAGGCACAACCTGCGAACCAAAAGTGTGTTGTCTGTACAGCACACGGTGGTTCCTGCAACAAAAGGGAGACTGAGCTCACATTTCCCAAACATCCCCTCTAAAAGACAAACTCTTCATGCAAATAAAAGTAAGCCATCAGCTCACCAGAGCCAATGCTATCTATGTAGACCAGACATGCAGCATGGATGAAAGCAGTAACAGTGTCCAATCTGAGGTCCCACTCGGCTTCTTCTTCATCTTCTAGGGCTCCCATGGTCATGAAGCCATCCTCATCCCGCTCACACACAGCATTGAGGAAGTTAACCCACGACAAGATGTCTCTGATGCTCAGGATGCAGCGCCGGCCGAAGTCCTGCTGGGTCAGCCACTCAATGAAGTCAAGCATCAGCTCTGCAATATCGCACCCTGTGTTTGATTCACAGAGGTGTTTCCAAGGAAACATCATCAGTAAGACTTTACAGATTACATAATTGTTCGATATGTCTGCCTAAATTGCTTGTCATTAAGTAGTTAACAAGACTAATCTTGCTATAGCTACTAAATGCTCCTCTATGTTCACCATCTATCACTATTATCACACTTTCACTGAAAACAACTACACTTTGCCTTTGTACTGCTTTATTGTGCCCCAAATCTTCCCTTGAGCCATGCTGCTAACACAAAACCCTTTTCACACATGCACTAGAACCCTGAAATTATCTAGACATTACCTGGAGGAGCTCTATATGAAAATGCAAATGTCTGAGTCAGTTGACCCAGTACTTAAATGGACTTTAGCCTGCCAGCTTCCTAGTACAAAGTCAGCGTGATGTCCGCGTGAGCTGGAGTGAGCTCATGTGAATAAAAAAAGTGGCATACAGTCCGGAGTATGGATCTAGTGGATGTGTTAATAGCAGTGGTGGGCAGTCAGGGCCAACAAGGCCTTCTCTGCTGGCCTAAACACTATCAGAAGCACTGACCTACATTTACAACCTAAATTCTAATATTTGTTCCGTAAAATGGTATTAATTTATTCCCAACAGTCTGTTCTCTTCATTTCATAGCATTTCTCTTGGCTGCACCGCTTCCAGTACATGTATGTGGATGTTAGATTGTTTTGTCCAATCACATTTCAGCCTCTATGTGTTGCCATGTCAATCTCTAATCTGCCCAGGGCCTTCAGAATCAGAAGTGCTGGCCAATGTAACTTAAACTATGTTAGCAATGGGACTGTTTCTTTAACAAATCAGACTTCAAATTCCCCTCACAAGGCCAGCTAGCTAGCCCACAATAACATCAGCATTTTTCCGTCCTCTGGTTGGTTGGTCAGAGCAAAACTAGAAAAGGACTTACTAATGGAACCGAAACGCAGAGATCACCTCCATGAGGATGGATTTTGTCTATAAATAAATAGCATCTCTGGTTAGTATGATGTATTTATTTATGAGAACACAATGATGTATTTCTGTTGTTTTTTTCCTATTCTAACTTCAATTCAAGGGGGGTTAACTTTACTTTCTCTGGTTCCTTCGGGGGCTTCTCTACGACACAGCCATCTCAGTGGTGTATCAACCTGAAGTCCTAAGTACTCTATTTTTATTGCTATTTATCATGTTTCACAATGAGCATTCCTTTGTCTGTCTGCATTGTTTACTGCCTGTTTATACTGCTTATTTTGCATTGTTTGCACTGTTTGTTGCTTGTTAATACTGCTTATTTTCTTATACCAGCCTTGTTTGTTTACTGTTTACTTGCCCCTTATATGTACATATACATTGAGAGCTGATGTACCCGAGTCAAATTCCTTGTGTGTCCAACACACCTGGCCAATAAAGCAGATTCTGATTCCGATTCTCTAAATGAAAGAATTCTTAAAGCTGTGACCTAATGCTTATAACTAAAACTTCAGTATATGCCCATATTTTTCTACATATTCCCAAGTTACTTTACCATCAAGTGAGAGGCCAGAGCGCAGGTTGTGTTGGATGATCTGCACCAGGTCACTGCGGCTGTTGCTGTGAGGACACCAGACCTCTGTGAAACGGTTCCTGAGGGCAGGAGAGAGCTGTTCGAAACAGAGAAGCACAAAGTCAGACTCTATCTACAACCAAGTTCTGATGGGTTCTCATAAAGCCCATTTATATATTTTAAAATGGATGTTAAATCACAGGGACAGGGGGGTTCAGTGTCTTGCCCAAGGACACTTCGACATGTGGACTGCAGGCACAGAGATTCGAAACTTCAACCTTTTGGTTGGGAGACGACTGCTCTACACACCGCACCACTGTCGTCTCCCCTTTTAAACCTAAGCTCCACTGACCACACAGTAGAAGCATTCCTATTTTGTAATTACCTCTTTCTTGCCAAAGTCTCCTCCAGGGTTCATGGTGGCAACCAGGCGAAAACCTGCAGCTGCTCTGATCAGCTCAATGTCATTATTGTCCCCGCTGCCCTTCTCCACCAAGACCAGGAACTTCTCTGCCTCTAGAACACTGACAAGATACACAACACACTGTTTAGAGCTTTTCTTAATCTGTTATTCACTTGTACAGTATGCAGTTGTTCACAGGGCAACATATAGTATCATGCTCATGTTGTATTTTGAGGGTCAAATACAATTTGTGCACAAAATGCAAAATGTGCCGTGTGTGCTAAAAGTACCCTCTATGGCAATATACATGCACAAGTGTCATAAAAGTGCACTTTGTTGCATACAAGTCTTATGTATACAAGTCAGGGAAGGTGTGTTTGTGGCATAAAATGATGGAAAGTTTAATCCAAGTCCATATTTTATGGGCAGCATGTTAAGTATATGCAAATTTCTCAGAAAGAAGGAAAACACTTGATAACCAAGGGGAAAACCTAAAGGGTCTTTGGTTAATAAAATACTATTATTCCAAAACATAACTGTAAAATCAATTATGATGCAGATGATATAATCTTGCATGCACCTCTCTTCTCACACTCTTCAGACATTTTTGCAGAACCTCAAACTTTTGGAATGCCAACATAAGATCTAATCGTTGTGATTGTATTATTACATATAAAAAAAGAAATCAGTTATATGTAAATTTTCCATGTGTCACTTTCACAATGAGATGATGAAAAATGCTCCACAATATCAGCCGGTGCACCAGAATGTGCATCTAATGTCCCTAATGGTGTATATGGGCCCCCCTAGTAGTATTTTCCAGTCTCACTTGCACACTGTTCCTTTTCTCCAGGGGCATAAAGTGTTTAAATGTAAGAAACACTGCTAATAGCTCCCGTAGTGTGTCCTCGCTCTTTCCCTGTACTTTTCTGCAGGTAGCCCTGGTTCTGAAGCTCTATGTTTCTAATGAGCATTCACCGGCCACACATTTGATTTTTTGTTGTTGCGTTTGCTGCGTCTTGCTGCTTTTCTCTCTCCTGTATCCACTGATCCCAACCGGTTGAGGCAGAAGGCTGCCCACCAAGAGCCGGGGTCTATAGGATGTTTCTTTTTTAAAGGGAGTTTTTCCTCCCCGCTGTCGTCAAGTGCTTGCTCAAGAGGGATTTGTTGGGTTTTTCCCTCTATAATAATAATAATACTAATACTAAGGTCTAGACCTTACTTTGTAAAGTGTCATAAGATAAATTCTGTTGTGATTTGGCGTTATACAAATAAAACTGAATTGAATAAGTGATCAAATTCAAAGTCAGACCCAGAAGGCTATGTCGTGCCTTTGTGTTGATGCACTCACTTCCTAGATAGGCCAGGTAAGCAAACACAATGTCTGTGTGCACCACAGCCTTGTCCAAATAGGCAGCCATGTGGATGCCTTGCTCACAGAGGGGACCATAGCCACCTTGGTACATTTTATACTGCAATATGCTCTTGGGCTCACTGATAAGAAACACAGGAGTACAATACACTTTGTATTTTCTGTGCGGAGGATAAATGGGGATACAAAAATACACATCTTTTACATCAACTGATATGAACCTAATGCTTTTGAGGCCACAAAACGTGTTGTGTACCTGTTGAGTCTCTCCAGCACCGAGTCATCTGCCAGGGAGATCTCATCCATGAGGAACACTCCACCCTCCTTCATGGCCATCACCAAGGGACCATCATGCCACTGAAACAACCTGCCATCCTCACCATCAGGCTACACACACACACACACACACACACACACACATTTAGTTATTTCCCAGAAGTCAATTTTATGGCTTTGCATTTTCTTAATGACTCTTCTCATATTTAATGACATCATCCTTTGCACTGTTTTTGTCTCCAATTCAACTGACACCAAGTCTCCAATCTAGAATCATTTGAATGGGTGAAATGCAATGTAGAGAGTAAAAATGATGTTTGTTTGGATGTCTTTGCAACAGTGTGAGGGGGTGTTCTTTGTACATGGATTAACAGGTTAGCTAGATAATTTTGTTGTCAATTTTATATTATCCTGGATACGTTGGTTCTTCGAAAGTTTCGCAGAACTTGCTGTCATGGCAACATGTCCATCTAGTTCTTGGGTTTATAAACAAGATAACTTCACAGATTTAAAGGGTGCAGAAAGTGACTCGAGCGGTTATAATAAGACATGGGTTTAAAGAAAACAGATTGTACTGATAGATTGACTGAACCCTTTGGCCCATCCCAAACTGTTCTTTATGAAATGGTAGTTTCAGTTGGGAGAAAATAATTTATTAATGTGGATTGCTAGCACCTCATATTAAGGGCAGACAAAGAGGAGCTGAGCTCTTGAAAATGCACTTAGAAAATGCAAGGAGTGAAGGAATGGGAGTCCTTTCTGACCCAACTGTATCTATATATGTGGAATTCATAACAGTAGAATGCTTGACATATTGTAACAACTGCATAAACTGTTATGTGAACAGTGAGACAGTATAGAGAAACTGATTTTGAGCATGACATATACAAGTGATAAATGTTCGAATTGTAGACAGCTGTACTTAATTATTTGCTGAAATGTGTTGCATAATTATTTGAAGACAAAGACTGAGAAGTGCTCTAATGTTGCACAAAAAACTAAATGTGGAGAATATTTAAGATCACTTTTATTGGTCAAGTATGATACACACACAAGAAATTTCTCTCCGGTACACAATCAAGGCAGCAGTCTGTGGCGCCAACTCACACACACACACACACACACACACACACCCCAATGGTGTTGTCATCATCTAAACAATTATTAATAAATGAAGATGATCTAGACATCTCTTGTGTGAGCTGAAATTTCTTTTACCGGCTTGTCAGTCTGTTGGATGTATGAGCTCGCAGTTGTGCACGTGATTACTATTTACGCATTTAACATAGAAGTCATATCAAAGCAATGGACATGCAGTCATGAACACATTGAGTATTTAAATGGGATATGTCTGCATTTAATTGGTCAGCCACTTCTCTCTACATTTTGCATCACCCTCCAGCAGAAGCTCTCTCTGCTGCTGATCATGATTTCAGCTGTCGATATATGTGGTCTAATCAATGATAACGAGAGATTAAGTCCAGCTTTTTTTAGAAAGCCTCTGTCAGCTTTCACTGCTACGTGGGTTAGATACTCACTTCTGAACTTTTTTCTCTGCCTATAGATTTGTCATTTCCACCCACAGTGGACTCATCAGTACCTGATGTGTGTGTCTGACGGGTCGTAGGCCTCCCAAGAAGTCAGAAGCCTCCATGTGGAGGTGACAGTTGACTGAGAAAAATGTCTGCCCAGCCAAAGCAGCAAACAGCTGGCAGATTGTAGTCTTTCCACATCTGGTGGGGGAACAGAATAAAAGCTTAGCATGATTAAAATAACTGCACATGCAGTAAGAACCCTGGACACTGTGTAAGCTAACCGCAGGAAGAATTATCTGAGAAAAACAAAACAAAAAAAATTCTAAGGATGTGTATGCTTATAGTACACTAGTCAACGTTTTCTCTCATTTCATAGGTTATATATCTGTGTTGGTTAAGAATTGGGCACACCCACTGTTGACTATTGCAGCTTCGATGTAGCATACATTGTCTCTTATTGTGTTCTCATTACTGCTGACTATTGCAGCTATGGCGCCAATGCAGCATGCATTAACTTATATTGTGTTCTCATTATATATACAGTCTTATGCAAAAGTTTAGACACCCCTTGATAAATAACAAATTTTGGTGATTTTTTATTTGAACAGATGTTAACACAGTTTCTCTTGGAAATGGAAAAAATGCACAATATTTTCAGCAAACAGTGATGCATAGTTACTTCTTATGCCATAAATTGAACAAAAATAAAAAATAAAAACATTATTATGGCATGGTGCAAAAGTTTGGGCACCCTAAGAGTTCCAGAGTCTCAAAGTCTCTCACAAGGTATCAGACCTTAATCAGCTCGTTAGATCTGATGCACAGCAACAGCTGTCATTGGTAAATGCCAATTTCAAAGCTGTACAAATACTTTGACTCTTCAAACCTTGTGCACACACTTGTGGACACCCAGCAACCATGGGTTCCTCTAAGCAGCTGTGTAAGACCCTGAAAATGAAAGTTATTGACGCCCACAATGCAGGAGAAGGCTACAAGAAGATAGCAAAGCGTTGTCAGCTTGCAGTTTCCACAGTAAGAAATGTAATTAAGAGATGGCAGATCAGGGGAACTGTGGAGGTCAAGATGAGATCTGGAAGACCAAGAAAACTCTCGGACAGAACTGCTCGTATGCTGGTCAGAAAGACAAATCAAAACCCCCATTTGACTGCAAAAAACCTGCAGGAAGATTTAGCAGACTCAGGAGTGGTGGTGCACCGTTCCACTGTGCAGCGATGCTTGCACAGACAAGGCCTTCATGGAAGAGTCAGCAGAAGAAAACCTTATCTGCGTCCCCATCATAAAATCCAACGTCTGAAGTATGCAACAGGACATCTACAGAAGCCCGATGCGTTTTGGAAACAAGTGCTGTGGACTGATGAAGTTAAAATAGAACTCTTTGGACACAATCAGCAAAGGCATGTTTGGAGAAAAAAAGGAGCAGCATTTCATGAAAAGAACACCTTGCCAACTATTAAGCATGGGGGTGGATCTATCATGCTCTGGGGTTGTGTTGCAGCCAGTGGCACAGGAAACATTGCACGGGTGGAGGGAAGAATGGATTCCACTAAATACCAGCAAATTCTGGAAGCAAACATCACACCATCTGTAAAAAAGCTGAAGCTGAAAAGAGGATGGCTTCTACAACAGGACAATGATCCTAAACATACCTCGAAATCCACTATGGAATACCTCAAGAGACGCAGGCTGAAGGTTTTGGAATGGCCATCACAGTCCCCTGATTTAAACATCATTGAAAATTTGTGGGTAGATCTTAAAAGAGCTGTGCATGCAAGACGACCAAAGAATATTACAGAACTAGAAGCCTTTTGCAAGGAAGAATGGGAGAAGATCCCAAGTACAAGAATTGAAAGACTTTTAGCTGGCTATGAAAAGCGTTTGCAAGCTGTGATATCTGCCAGAGGAGGTGTTACTAAGTACTGATTGTGTAGGGTGCCCAAACTTTTGCACCATGCCATAATAATGTTTTTATTTTTTATTTTTGTTCAATTTATGGCATATATATATATATATATATATATATATATATTGGTTGAAGTGCCTTTAGATCATTATGCAACTGTTTATCTACTTTATATTTCACTTGTGTTTCACATTCAGTGTGGACGACAAAATGACCATGTCCATATTACTCTGATCTTCTTAAGACATAATGAATTTGGCCTGTCAGTTTAATCTTACCCAGTGTCTCCTATGAGCAGGACAGACTCTCCGAATCGAAGCGCCCGTCCTACCAGCACAGCTAGTCTCCTCATGCCATATGTCCACACAATGTGGCGGAACTCCTCTGGAACGTCAGCGATGCTGTCGATGAAGGGCCCTGCCAATCAGAGGGTCAAGCCAACATGATACTGTGGTCATCAGACAAGCTAGAAGCTAGATAGCTACATTTTCTCCTTTGATTTTTCAAGTAAATTGTTTACTGTCTGCAGCAGTGGCATAACTATCAGAACAGCCAATGTGGTTGCACTGGAGCCCAGCTGATTTCATGGGTACAGGTGTGAAGGGTTTTGATGGCTGCATTAATGTTACATATTGCAGGAGACCCTCCCATGACTATAAATTATATCATCCAGTTTTCAAGCTGACCCTTCATTGAAAGCAAAACACAAAGTTGTGACAGCTGATGTGATAGTTATAAACAAAACCTTATGATCATGTGTATAACACTCATGGTTTTTAATCAAAGCCTGTTTTTGGTTTTTTTTTTTTTTTTTGGGGGTGGGGGGTTGCTGTTGTTGATCACAGCCTGTTGCTTTTGTTTTTTTGTCCATGTTTTATTAATATTATGTATTAGTTCTATCCACTACATATTTTATTTATTTTCTTTCTTCTGAAAATGATAACAAGGAATAAGGCCTGCTGGGAAATGCTAATTTACTTGTCCAATTACCTTGCTCCCTGTCATTTGTGTTAACGTAACTAGGATCTTCTGGTGATTTTTCAAATTTTGATTGCAGTACTGCAATATTTTTGATCACTTGCTTATATAAACCCCACCCACTTTGATCAGTCTCCAAACCAAATTTCACAACTGTCCATGATGGAACAACAGTGCAAGTAAACAAGAGTCCTACTATCAGATAACTGACTCAGTAATGCCACATACACAGCAATACATATCTATATCTACATATCTGCTTCCTGACATAAGCTACCATTAGCAACCAAAAACCACTGATCATGCTAGACTACAGTAAGTAAACACAAACCCAAAAGGTGGTGAACTAACGAATGGAGCTTTTTATCTCTTATAAATGTTTACTTTTTCTGTAAGACAAAAACTTATTTCAAAAGTTAGATCATCTTCTTTAGTAGTATTATTTGGAACATACTGTACCAAGTACAGAGTGGTCAGAGGTATCACTCAAGATTATGATCTGAATACGAGGATAACTCTTAAGATTATGTAAATACACATGTTTACACCAGTCCATCCATCCATCCATCTTCGTCCGCTTTATCCGAGACCGGGTCGTGGGGGCAGTAGTCCGAGCAGAGCCTCCCAGACTTCTCTCTCCCCACACACCTCCTCTAGCTCCTCAGGAGGAACCCCAAGGCGTTCCCAGGCCACCCGGGAGACAGTGTCCTGGGTCTGCCCTGAGGCCTTTTCCCAAAGGGACATGCCCAGAATACCTCCCCACGGAGGTGTCCAGGGGGCATCCTAAACAGGTGCCCGAGCCACCTCAACTGGTTCCGCTCAACATGGAGGAGCAGCGGCTCTACTCCGAGCTCCTCACAGGTGACTGAGCTCCACACTCTATCCCTAAGGGTGCGCCCAGCCACTCTCCAGAGGAAACTCATTTCTGCCACTTGTATCTGCGATCTCATTCTTTCGGTCATGACCCAAAGTTCATGGCCATAGGTGAGGGTAGGAACGTAGATCGACCGGTAAATTGAGAGCTTCGCCTTACGACTCAGCTCTGTAGTGGAATTTTTAGGATAGCACCCTTTTAGTGGTTATTTACCTTATAGTCCATTACTAGACCTTTTATTGCATGGTCGTAAACCTTTGCATGCCCTTGTGATTGCCAAACCAGATGTGATCTGGGACCAGAGGGCTGGTATCCTGTTGTAAATGGTATCCTGTTTTCTTTATCTGTTGGAGCATCTGTTTTCTATTATTGTATGCTGAGTATAAGAAGGGCAGTCACATTCTGTTCTGGAGTTTTCTCTCCATCAGACTGCCTGGACATTGAGTTGAGATCGCTCCTTCCTGCAGGAATAAATATGTAATAACTTTCAGAGTTAATTTATTTTACACTCACTGAGCTTTAGTAGATAATTTTGCCACAACAGCTCCTCCTTTACCACAACGAACCGGTACAGAGACCGCATTACTGCGGACGCCGCACCAATCTGTCTGTCAACCTGCTGCTCCATTTTTCCCTTCACTCGTGAACAAGACCCCGGTTGTTTGATATTCATTAAAATTGTGGTATCATGCATCCCTAATGGTACAATGAATTTACCTTGTTGTGTGAGAGATTCCTAATAACAAGCTCAAAGTTTAAATCACTGACATAATTTGACAGTGGTATCTACTGTAGAAGTGTAAAATGATATCTCTACACAAAGTGTAGAGACCTCGAGATACTTAAACTCTTCCACTTGAGGGAGCAACTCGCCTCCAACCCGGAGAGGACAATCCACCTTTTTCCAATTGAGAACCATAGCCTCGGATTTGGAGGTGCTAATTCCCATCCCCGCTGCTTCACACTCAGCTGCAAACCTCTCCAGTGCATGCTGTAGGTTTTGAACTGATGAAGCCAACAGAACCACAACATCTGCAAAAAGCAGGGATGAGATTCTGCAAGAACCAAAACAAATGCCCTCCATTCCCTGGCTGTGCCTAGAAATTCTGTCCATAAAAATAATGAACAGAATCTGTGACAAAGGGCAGCCTTGGCGGAGTCCAACATGCACCGGAAGCAGGTCTGACTTGCTGCCAGCAATGCAAAACCAAGCTCCTACTCCGGTCATACAGGGAACAGACAGCCTATAACAACGAGCCCCGCTCCCCATAATCCCGAAGTACCTCCCACAGGAAACAAACTGCTGGGCAAACTCCCATGAATCCTCCAACACCCTAGTGAGGGTATAGAGCTGGTTTAGTGTTCCACAGTGTTTACACCCAATAGATCAAATGTAAAAAGTTAGATTAATTTTTGTTCTGTTTAAAAAAACTCAGTGGGTTCATGCAATTCTTTAAAGAAAAAAAAAGAATGCTGGAATGAAGAACTGTTCTACTCACTGAACTGGCTGGTCACCTGTTTCTGACAGAACAGGTTTTCAGGGTTAACTGTCCTCTTGAAGTGCTTCTCCAGGATGGACAGGATGATGGCCTCTTCCTCTGGCTTCCTGACACGTCCTGCCAGCAGCATATATCCTGATGGGGAATACAAGAGCTTTATTTAGATTTTTAGTGGAGCAGGCATCAGCTGGCAATTTAACAAATATGTCTGACAAGTGTCACCATCATTAGCCAAATGCTGCAGCCAGTCCTGAGAGGCCTCTGTCTGCTCCTCCAGCCTGTACCGGTCTGCCCAGCGGAACAGATCTCTGAGGGTGATGAAGCCATGTTTTCCCGCAAATACAGAAGATCCCCTGCGCAAAGACTGGATGGGGAAACACATTTCACAAATGCAGTCAGAATCACCAAAAAAGGTAGTTAATATAAAGAGATAAGCAAGGCACGCAGACAGTACAGCACCAACATACAGGAGTACACTGTTACCTGAAGGTCTTGCATGACGTTGACCAGCCTGGTGCAGTAGGATGGAGGCAGGCTGCACCTCTGGTAGAGGATGGTCTCCAGCTCCTCACTGGGCAGCTCATCAAAGTGTAGCTCCACAAAACGGTTCCTGAAAGCCTTGGAGAGCACCTACAGATTAGAAAGAGATTGGTTAGTTATTTTGCTAAATGAACAAATTTCTCGACTCTATATTAACTGGACTAACACAAAGTTTCATTTCACAAAATGCATGTTTTATAGAGCTGTAAGAGCCCTACCAGAAATGGAGCTTAAAATGCAGTTTGTCCTGTAGATGGTACAATATCTTCTTGAAAGGCTTATGTGCTTGCTAAATTTTAATGCAGTCGTTGCATAAGATGTGCATTTTAGAAGTTGTGACTTAACAGTGGTGCTTTGGGATAGATTAGATGACTCGGCAAACATTAGAATTCAAAAACTGTTAAAACTGTGTTTCTGTGAATTTGAAGTTAACTACAGTGAAGCCATGCTGTCAGAAAAGTCCCTCCTAGGCTGAACGAATGGTTTACCTTCCTACCACCATAGAGACCAGGAGGGTTCTGGGTTGCAAACAGCATGAATCTGGGGTGAGCCTTGATGACTTCCTGTGTCTCAGCCACAAAGAGCTCCCTGTTGTCGTCCAGCAGCCTGTTGAGTGCCTCCAGAACATCAGTGGGGGCAAGGTTCAGCTCATCCAGGATGATCCAGTAACCTTTCCTCATGGCGTCAATCAAAACACCTTGAGCAGATAGACAAGTGAGCACAAAATAGTTTGGAGTGGTGGCAGAGTTCAAGTGTAGACATGGAAATGCCACTGCAATGTGTAACAGTGGGTGGGTAAATGTATTTACAATTTGTCAGGTTTTGAAAACAATCATTTGTTCTTTGCATTTGACTGCTTTCTCCGATATCCTAGCTAATATTTACCTTCTTAAATCTAAAATTTGAGCTGTTCCTCGGGATAGCACTGATCATATTTATACGACATGTCCCCAAGACATCACAATATGAAATATAAAGGCCTTCTAAATGTGAACTGCATGCATAAACGTGTAACAAACGTGTCAAAACTGTGACAGTATCTGTCAAAGAGTCCATCACAGTTGCTGGATTAGTGCTCGTTAGGGCCGTGTATTGGCAAGAATCTGGCAATACAATACGTATCATGGTATATCAAATGATAACTTCTGTACCATGATACACTACATATCACGGTACAGAAGTTATCATTCGATATGCTGCGATACTGTAAACAAGGTGATTTATTGCAATTTTGTAAAATATATTTTAGAAAAACTGTCATAAAATAAGGAACACATTGCCATATGTATAAATCTCCTGTAAAAAAAAAATTGACTCCTTTACACAATCAGAAAAGGGATCAGCATTTGCATTCGTCATTGTACCTGTAACATCGTACTACTCGGCAAATGAACTATTACTTAAAAATCGATCCTTTGCTTTTGAGAATGAATACAGTATCACAAAGCGTAATATCTCAATGTGTATCAGTATTTTCTTACACCCGTAGTGCTCGTACCCTCTTTGAACACCAGCTTGCCCCTGTCATCTGATGAATAGCAGCCTATGTACTCCTGGATGTCAGTGTGCTCATGGTTGTTGATCCTCTTTTTGAGCTGCAGCCAGCCAGCAAATCAGGCTGGTCTTTCCCACAGATGTCTCTCCCTGGATCAGCACTGGGTGACTCCTGTGAGGCAGAAACATTAGAGAGTGACAGAAGGGTAGACTACTGATTTGTCATCAGGTCAAGGTGGGATGGTGTTGTAACCTGAGTGTACCAAATGGGCTACTGATTGGTGAGGAGGGAGGGTCATTTTTAAATAGCATTTTTAATATTTACTGTAGTGTATATCTTCTTCATCCTGGTTGTGTACAGTTACCACGGTTACACGTGTTGTTCCCATCTTCCATGAGGTTTGCAGAAAACAATTTTATTCACACAGCGCCCCTCTGGTCTGCAGAAGTTGGACTCACTCACATTTGTACTAAAATTCTCTTCACTGGTTCAGAGGTGATGCTAAATCGGCAGATAACATTAAAGCAGTGAGATCTCTGCAGCGCCCATTTAGAGGTGATTTATACAAACCCCAATTCCAATGAAGTTGGGACCTTTGTGTAAAACGTAAATAACAGAATACAAGTTGCAAATCCATTTTGACCCATATTTAATTGAATACACCACAAAGACAAGACATTTAATGATCAAACTGGTAAACTTTGTTGTTTTTTGCAAATATTCACTCATTTTGAATTTGATGCCTGTAACATGTTCTAAAAGAGCTTGGACAGGGATATTTTTACCACTATGTCACATCACCTTTCCTTTTAACAACACTTAATAAGCATTTGAGAACTGAGGACACTAATTGTTGAAACTCTGTAGGTGGAATTCTTTCCCATTCTTGCTTGATGTACGACTTCAGTTGCTCAACAGTCCGGGGTCTGCGGTGTCATATTTTGTGCTTCATAACACACCACACATTTTCAACGGGAGATGGGTTTGGACTGCAGGCAGGCCGGTCTAGTACCCACACTCCTTTACTACGAAGTCACGCTGTTATATCACAAACAGAATGTGGCTTTGCATTGTCATGCTGAAAAAAGCAGGGGCGTCCCTGAAAAAGATGTCGCTTGGATGGCAGCATATTTTGCTCCAAACCTAGATGAACTTTTCAGCATTAATGGTGCCTTCACAGAGGTGCAGGTTACCCATGGGCACTAACACACCCCCATACCATCACAGATGCTGGCTTTTGAACTTTGCACTGATAATAATCTGGATGGTCCTTTTCCTCTTTAGCCCGGAGGACACAACGTCCATGATTTCCAAAAACAATTTGAAACATGGACTCATCAGACCACAGCACACTTTGCATCAGTCCATCTCAGACGAGCTCAGGCCCAGAGAAGCCGATGGCGTTTTTGGGTGTTGTTGATGTACGGCTTTCGCTTTGCATGGTAGAGTTTTAACTTGCCCTTGCAGATGTTGTGACCAACTGTGTTAACTGACAATGGATTTCCAAAGTGTTCCTGAGCCCACGTGGTAATTTCCTTTACAGAATGATGTCTGTTTTCAATATAGTCCGCCTGAGGGATTGAAGGTCACAGGCATTCAGTGTTGGTTTACGGCCTTGCCGCTTACATGCAGAGATTTCTCCAGATTCTCTGAATCTTTTGATCATATTATGAACTGTAGATAATGAAATACCTAGCTGTCCCTGGTAGGCTAGTGGTTAAGGCGCAGCGCTCTCGCCGCTGCGCATCAGGGTTGCATCAGAAAGGGCATCCGGCATAAAACACGTGCCAAATGGCAACATGCGAGTCGTCAGTAAGCTGTTGGACTATTTGCTCATGCAGCTGTTCACAAAGTGGTGAACTGTGCCCCATCCTTGCTTGTGAATGACTGAGTCTTTTGCAATGCTCCTTTTATACCCAATCATGATGCTCACCTGTTCCCAATAAACGTGTTCAGCTGTACAATGTTCCAAACAGGTGTCTTTTGAGGATTCCTCAACCTTCCCAGTCTTTTGTTGCCCCTGTCCCAGCAATTTTAGAACGTGTTGCAGGCATCAAATTCAAAATGAGTGAATATTTGCAAAAAACAAAGTTTATCAGTGTGAACATTAAATATCTTGTCTTAGTGGTGCATTCAATTAAATATGGGTCAAAAAGGATTTGCAAGTTAGTGTATTCTGTTTTTATTTACGTTTTACACAATGTCCCAACTTCATTGGAATTGGGGTTTGTGGGTGACTACCCACATTAATACCGGAACTGACTGATAGAAACACAAAAGGTATCTGACTGAAAGGAACACAATGTTACACCTACATCCACAGTGTTTCATGTTAAGTTATCCTGCCGTTTCATATGGCATGCTGCAGCATTTTCCTAGTGTCCCCCAGCAGTGTTATGCACAATTCTCTGGATTGTAGATGAATATGGTTCATAGCGCTTCCAGGAAGCACTAACCCCAGAGAAAGAACCTTACTGAATGTAAAATGGCAGTGAAACACATCAGGCTGCTAATTCAACTCCTGAACAAGGGATATTTTGGCCTGTGGAGGAAACCGTTTTACTGATCAGCACCTATAGTTTGTGATTCCACAGATGACCTGCATCTGTGGAATCACAAAGTTCATTCATTAAGTTACTTTATGTCCATTTGCCCATCTGTCACATTATCATTTACTTTTTATTAGTTGACAAAAAATGTCAAACATTTTGTCATAGTTCTCATCAATAAACATTACTTTTTATTTAGTTTTAGTTTCCTTTTTGCCCTGAAAAGTAGGTCATCAACGAATATTTTTCATCATAGCTGTCATTAAGAAAATTAACACCATCTCCTGGATCATATACAGTGCCTTGCGAAAGTATTCGGCCCCCTTGAACTTTGCGACCTTTTGCCACATTTCAGGCTTCAAACATAAAGATATAAAACTGTAAGTTTTTGTGAAGAATCAACAACAAGTGGGACACAATCATGAAGTGGAACAAAATTTATTGGATATTTCAAACTTTTTTAACAAATAAAAAACTGAAAAATTGGGCGTGCAAAATTATTCAGCCCCTTTACTTTCAGTGCAGCAAACTCTCTCCAGAAGTTCAGTGAGGATCTCTGAATGATCCAATGTTGACCTAAATGACTAATGATGATAAATAGAACCCACCTGTGTGTAATCAAGTCTCCGTATAAATGCACCTGCACTGTGAGAGTCTCAGAGGTCCGTTTAAAGCGCAAAGAGCATCATGAAGAACAAGGAACACACCAGGAACACACCAGGCAGGTCCGAGATACTGTTGTGGAGAAGTTTAACGCCGGATTTGGATACAAAAAGATTTCCCAAGCTTTAAACATCCCAAGGAGCACTGTGCAAGCAATAATATTGAAATGGAAGGAGTATCAGACCACTGCAAAGCTACCAAGACCTGGCCGGCCCTCTAAACTTTCAGCTCATACAAAGAGAAGACTGATCAGAGATGCAGCCAAGAGGCCCAGGATCACTCTGGATGAACTGCAGAGATCTACAGCTGAGGGGGGAGACTCTGTCCATAGGACAACAATCAGTCGTATACTGCACAAATCTGGCCTTTATGGAAGAGTGGCAAGAAGAAAGCCATTTCTTAAAGATATCCATAAAAAGTGTCATTTAAAGTTTGCCACAAGCCACCTGGGAGACACACCAAACATGTGGAAGAAGGTGCTCTGGTCAGATGAAACCAAAATCGAACTTTTTGGCAACAATGCAAAACGTTATGTTTGGCGTAAAAGCAACACAGCTCATCACCCTGAACACACCATCCCCACTGTCAAACATGGTGGTGGCAGCATCATGGTTTGGGCCTGCTTTTCTTCAGCAGGGACAGGGAAGATGGTTAAAATTGAGCGGAAGGTGGATGGAGCCAAATACAGGGCCATTCTGGAAGGAAACCTGATGGAGTCTGCAAAAGACCTGAGACTGGGACGGAGATTACCTCTGAGACTATCACAGTGCAGGTGCATTTATACGGAGACTTGATTACACACAGGTGGATTCTATTTATCATCCTTTGTCATTTAGGTCAACATTGGATCATTCAGAGATCCTCACTGAACTTCTGGAGAGAGTTTGCTGCACTGAAAGTAAAGGGGCTGAATAATTTTGCACGCCCAATTTTTCAGTTTTTTATTTGTTAAAAACGTTTGAAATATCCAATAAATTTCGTTCCACTTCATGATTGTGTCCCACTTGTTGTTGATTCTTCACAAAAAATTACAGTTTTATATCTTTATGTTTGAAGCCTGAAATGTGGCAAAAGGTCGCAAAGTTCAAGGGGGCCGAATACTTTCGCAAGGCACTGTATGCTTACAATCTATAACTGTCATTTAGAATGCCCACATTGTAAAGCTATTATGTTGATTTATTGTGTATGCACAATATCTACTGCTTGTCTGTCCCTCCTAGAACAGGGATCCTCATCTGTTGCTCTTTCTGGGGTTGGTTTAATTTTTTTTCCAGTTTAAGTTTGTTTGTTTTTTTAGCACATTTTTCTTATCTGATTTGATGGTCTACAGACAGAGGGTGTTATATGCTGTAAGACTGTAAAGCCTATCGAGGCTAATTTGCTATTTGTTATGTTCTAAATTAGACTTGACTGTGGTTTCTGTTGATTACTATGGTGATATGATGAGCTGAGATGGCAAGTTGAAAAAGCTGAACCATCAAAAACTCTGTTGGAAGTGGAAATTGAAAGCAAAGGTATGTAGATATCCTTGTACACACTCTTTGGTCTGAGGCCAGTATCCATGAGCTGGGTTGGTGCTCCAAGTGACAGTGAATCTTAATGCTACATCATACAGGGATATTTTAGACAACACTGTTCTTCCAACTTTTTTCCATATTAACCATGACTATGTCCCTGTGCACAAAGCCCTGTGCTAGTTTTTCCACACCAAACCACCCAGGTTGGTATTGGCTACCCTGCATAGAGCCTTAAACCCAAACTCCATCCAGCACCTTTGGAATGAGCTAGTGCACAACAGTGAGCCAGGCTTTAACACCCAACACCAACATTGGACCTCAGTGCTCTTCCTGGAATACTTCTCTCAGTATGTATTTAGGTGTTCAGGATGTCTGTTGTCCTTAACAGAAGCCAAACAGAGCCATAAAAGCTTATCAGTTTCTGTCCAGCAGGCCACAGGCTGCAGAACAATTCAGTCCAACCACATTCTTTCCTAAAGGGCCTAATTTAGCTCTGTCAAAATGAACATTTGGACATTTATAGATGAAACCATGGATTTGGGGGAAATCATAGGCAGGGAATCAGGCCGGGCAGGTTTCCTACCCTGCAGATACCACTCTGGCAAGGTCGCAGAGGTTGAGCTTGACTGAGGGGGTGAGAATGTAGCTGGGATCCAAAGCTGGCTCCATCTCCCCCTGGCTCACCCAATAGCCCTCGACCTCCACGCAGATCCGGTCTGTGGGTGCCGGAATGGGCTGCAAGAAACATAACAAGAGGCTTTTCGCTATCTGTTTACAACTATTCACAAAATGACAAATATTTATATGAACATGTCTATGGTAGTGACTGTACAATCATTTTATTCCTCTGAGTTTCAAATGAAAGATTTACTATCACTTGAGGTTATTTTGCCATGAAAACTGGAAACTATTATCACAGTCACTAGTAGCACAGGATAAATGCTACTGATGATTTCAGCCCCCCCCCCAAAAAAAAGGAATAAAAACAAGTCAATTATGAGTTTAAACCTACAGTGTTTTGGTTAAGTCAACACATATTAAAAGACAGAAAAAGGAGTTAAGGAAAAGATTATACCCTTTCACTATTATGTATGCAGGAAGTGACAGCTTAACAGTAATCCAAAAAATAAAGTGGAAGAGATTGGAAAAAAAGTTAATGAAAACACTTTCTGTTAAAAAGAGAAACTGAGCAGCAGTGAGTATGACATGACTGATGGAATTAATGCTGCAGAAACATGCATACTGTATGTCTGTGCTGTATATTATATACAATTTATCAATAAAAAGGCAAACAGAAGAATTTTGAGGTTGAATCATCAGCAAATGGAAGTGGAAGCACATCGGACAACAGGTGTCTTCTCACTAAAATTTGATACGAGTAGAGAAAGACAGGTAGAGAAAGAAATACAGTATAGTCCCTAGTATAGTGTAAGCCTGTCTCAAATGACGGTGTGCTTCTCTCCACAGTTAATAAAGGCTCTAGCCACTGAGAACTGCTATTGGTTATAACTCAAATGCACAAATATAGAATGTAGCATAAAAGAAATAACCAGCTCTCTTACTTGTTTGAGACACTTGGTATTTCCCATCAAGATGTGCTGACACACCAGTTTCTGGACCACAGGGTAGGAGCTTCTCTCCAGCTGAGTCAAGAAACTCAGGCAGAAACCCTGCAACCATCAAGCAAGCAGAGTGTTAACTCAGAGTACATGTAGGTGATCGGGATGGAATTCAAATGTACAGTCATGGCCAAAATTATTGACAACCTGCATTTCTGTCAAATAACACACCACGTCTCCCAGAAAATTGTTGCAATCACAAATTCTGTGGTATTCTTGTGTTTATTTCCTGGACTGGACAGAATCATCGACACCTTCAACTTAAAATTTGATAGTACGCCCTTTGGACAAAATAACTCAAACCAATCTCTTCCTGTAACCATCAGTGAGTTTCTTCCACCTCTCTACAGGAACTTTGGACCACTCTTCTTTTGCCAACTGCTCCAGGTCTCTCAGATTTGAAGGGTTCCTTCTTCCAGCTGCTGTGGAGAGATCTCAGAGATCTCTCCACAGCAGCTCTATGGGATTTAGATCTGGACTCATTGCTGGCCACTTCAGAACTCTCCAGCTCATTGTCTGAAACCATTTCTGTCCTTTGTCATTCACATGGCAGTTCAAGCTGACTGTTGCACCCTGCACCTTGAATATGTTTGGAAGTTGATCAAGGGTCTTTATCCACCATTGGAACAATCCTTCCTTGTAGCCTGTCATCTGTTTTTCTCTTTTGTCCATGTCCAGGGAGATTAGCTACAGCATTATGTGATTCCAACTATTTTCAGGGAGAAGTGGTGTGTTATCTAACAGAAATGCAGGGCGCCAATATTTTTGACCATAACTGTAGCAGCCAGCTTCAAAACCTCAGCACGTGGAATGATGCCAACAGTGGTGACAAGTTTGTTTTAGCAAAATAATCCTTTAAAGATGGGTGGAGTTTGCATGTTCTCCCTGTGCATGGGTTCTCTCCAGGTGCTCCAGTCACTCTAAACTGCCTGTAGGAGTGAGTGAGAGTGTGAGTGTGTGTGTGTGGGTTCTCTGCCTACATGTCAACCCTATGATAGTCTGGCAACCTGTCCAGGGTGTATCCTGCCTCTTGCCCAATATCAACTGGGATTGGCTCCAGCCCCCTACCCCCAATCCTATTGAGGTACAAGTGGTATAGATAATGGATAGATGGATGGAGATTCATTCTCTGTAGCCTCCTACCTCGTAGAGTGAGCGCTGCACACTGTGGCACGGGTTTTCAGCCACATACTTCAGTGCCCTGCACAGAGTCCGCAGGCTGTAGTGGGGTCTGTGCCCTCTCCCATCCAACAAATGTGAGCAGGCCTCCTTTCGTACTGCCAGGTAAAAGCTACACACAAACACAATCATTAAAAAAAACACAGGAATTATTTAACAACCAGTCTGAGCCCACTGTAGGACTTTGGGGAAAAAAAAGCACAACAGTAAATGTGAAGACTAAGGCATATGCTATGTATTCAAGATTCCCCCACATAGGTCTGTCACATTATCTGACATTATCTGTCACATGATAAAAAAAAGGTAAATAAAGTATTGGATTTTAATTTTCTATTCAGCTCAAGGACTGGTTAAACACAAATGAAGATTAAGTGAATAGTTTTGAAGTGAATTGTTTTTAAACCACAAAAACATACTCTCATGCTGCACACAGCCCCAGCAAGCTCCAAGCATAAGGTGATATTTAGTACCATCTTACAATGTCAGAAATAATTTGGAACCATGGTAAATGCTAACCTTATGATGCCACTGATGACACTCCTGTGTGGATTTAAGCACTTGAGGTAGTCTGAAACCAGAATCCGCAGGTCTCCCTCATTCTCCAGCTCCTCCACATAAAGCTCAGTAAACCTGGGAGGCAACCAAGGCAGAAATGTAGCTTCTGCAACATCTTAAATTGCTTGAGTACTCTGTGTCACTTTGCTTTCACCTCTGCACATTCTTACCTGTTCCTGAGGCCAAGAGGCAAGTTCCTCTTCCCCACATCAGTAGCTGGGTTCATGCAGGCAAAAAGACGGAAGTCTGGGTGGCGAACTAGGGACTCTGATCAAACCAGAGAACATTATTCCACAATCCCAGGAATGTTAATGAATAGATTTCATTCAAATGACAGTGATACAAATATGTTTGGGGAATGCAGTATTTGTGTGGCTGCTTTTCAGCATCCACACTGTTTTCCTGTTCTTTATTTATTGTGTGGATGCTGAGTCAGCAGCAACATAACATAACATTTTTTTGCCCCCTTTTGCTTTAGCTTTATTCTGAAGATTTTGCCCCATTCAAATGAATGGGAAAACTCTGCTTCTGCATACTTTCAGCTATTTCAGGTGTCATTCGGGTGTCAAAAATGTTCAGCATTTTCAGGGCGATCCTTCAGCCCTCAGTATCCACATGCATTCTCTTCAGAAAATGCATTTCTCTAGTTTTACATTTTGTGCTGCTCATCTCAACTTTGAGTTTTATTGACAGGTGGTTAACATTATTTAGACTGCCACTAAAAACTCTTTCTGTTGAAAGCTGAATCCAACTGTATTCATTAAGAGATTTGAATGAATTTGATAAGAAGATAAGGTACTGGATTCAGATTTGATAAAATGCAATCAAACTACAACCAGTCCTCACCGGTATCACCACGGTCCAATAGCACCAGAGATCCAGTGCTGCCCTCCAAGAGTCCACTTAGACACTCCAAGGTCTCTGCTGCTGCCAGGTTGATCTCATCCAGCAGGATCCAGTGGCCACTCTTCACTGCCTGAGCTAATGTGCCCTAAAGAGGAGCGCACATGGGTCACAACAGCTACACCAAAGACATACAGTACAGACATGAAACCTACGTCATACATTACAGTACATGAAGGTGTGTGATAGCTAGCATGCAGATGGTAGAGCACCCACAATTTTGGCACCTGTATTTGACTTAGACTTAGTCTTAGTCTTTTTATAAAATATTAGTTTTAGTTAGTTAAATAATTGCAAATATTTTAGCCTAACGTTGTTCAGGGACAGTTTAATTTGGCTCTTGTCCTGTATTTCTAATATTTATAGCCTGTGTTCTGAGGTTGCCACCTTTGTTACGATGGGAAAACTTTTGTTTTTTTTATGCACCTTCCTGTCTAATTTTCAGTGAACTGTTACGAATTTTAGTTCATAAACCTATTTCCTCTAAGAAGAGGCAACATCAGAAGACAAAAACTATTTCTGAATGTAAGATGCTTATTATTAAGAACAGTGCAACAGGTAAACCAACTTTTGAATAAATTATGTTTAGGAGATGGGGGAAACTATTTTAGTTATCAGTTTGTGATCTAAAGACAATGCTTAAAGAAAGCATTACTTCATGTCTGTCACATTTTTGTTTAGTTTTTGTTGACGAAAAATGTGAAACATCTTGTCATAGTTCTCATTTTCAAATGTTGCTTTTTAATTAGTTTTACTCTGGTTTTCATCAGGAAAAGACAAATAGCTTTTGTTTACAGAATTAGCACTGCACCCACAGAGCCCTGAACACCATGTGGCCTTTTTCCATCAGTGCAGGTTAACCCACTTGTACTGTACAGAGCTGTTCCCATTTGTTTCTAACAGCTGAGGGTAAATGCTCAGGCTCAGGTTTAATCGGCCTCATTCTTTGCAGCCTGGAAGTCATTCTACCTACTTTCATAAACTTTTGATTGATCTGTAGTTAGCACTATAACAACGAACAACAACAAAAAAATGTCTAGCACCAAGGGCTCAATGTTTCAAGCTAACACCACAGCAATATCACAAGTTATGCATCACTTCTGTTACATCAGTGGCTTGCACCACCCCCAAGATCAAAAGGCAGAAGATAAATGCCCTTTTACAGTGCAGTGGCAACAAACCCGCACTGGCTCACGTGTGGCCTAGCCTGGCTGCACTGACAACACCGCAGCTTAGCCGGAGAAGTCAAAAAACACCCGTGGAGTCAATCTGATCACATGAAGAGGCAGAAAACACTGAGACAAACTAAATCCACAGAAAAACTGTTGCAAGTTCTCCGAGACGCTTGGAACTAACTACCTGCCAAGTACCTTGAGGAACTGTGTGCAACAGGCCTTTTTTCACTGTAGGAACCTACTGACCTGTAACAAAACTTGTACCCCTTGTCCCAAGTTTTGCTTTTGTTTCCACTGCCCCTCTGCCTTCTTTGGAGACGAGTTCCAGGAGCTACATGTCAGCACACCTCAGGAGGTACTGGCAGGGCTGTCGCCCATGATTGGTTCAGTGTGTGTGTCATCACATCTCAAGTATTATCACACACACTGGTTTAGAGGTAAAAAATGGTGACTTCAGCAAGCTGATTGTGGGCACGATAGTGAAGACATCACATTTCTGAATTCTGCTTGTTCACCAGCTGTTTGATAAACTCCTCATAAAGCCTCTGTTACGGCAGACTATGTTACATAATTACTGTGGTCCTTGACTCAATGTTCTCTGCTCAGGTGTATAGAGAGGAGCTCAGCACCATTTGCATGTGAAGTGGAACCGCATCAGCCCTTGGAGGTTCTGCCAGATTATGGGTTTGGGAAGCTACAGGTTGCGAATGAAGTCAAAACGCTACGGGTGTACAGAGGAGAACTGGTGCTGTTTTAGTGGCAAAGGGTGGTCATAGCAAATACTGATTTGATTTAGGGTTTTTCCTTTTTACTGCATTTTGTATGAAGTTCATAAAGAAAAATAAAAAAAAAAACTATAAAAATTTTATTTTTTACCTCCACAAAAGCAAAGACCATGGTCATCTCACAGGCTCGAATCTGCTGCTGGGTCTGATTCAGTTTTGCAGCCAGCGACTTCCACTGTTCCTGCAGTAAGGCAGCTGCATAAACACACACCAACTTATAGTTACTGTGCTTCAGTAGCCTGTACACTGTTATCATTGTTTGAAACTGTATAGCACCCTACCATTTGATTTCTCCTGTAGCTCCTTAGTGAGAGCAGACTTGCAGACATGGTCCATGAGTTTGAGCAGATCGTGCCAGCGCTTCCCCCTGAAGCAGGTCTGAACGTGACCCAGGAAGGTCAGGTTCTGCTTCCTTGAGTAAGTCTGGGAGAACAGTTCCTCAAAGGCCTCCCGCAGAGGGAGCAAGATTTGCTTGTGGTCAACTGGCTTGTACCTGCATTACACAGAAAAGTTTTAAATCCAAATCCTCTGCCATCTGCCAGCAGTGATAGTGACTAACTGGCAAGAAGGAAAAGTACTCGCCCAAAATCACCGAGACCGAGACTAAAAAGTTGTATCTGCTACTTGTTTCATTCATCAGCTACTTTCCTAAATTCTCATTCCCTGTCAGTCTCCTTTTTTTATTAACCCTTTAACTATGATGCCATTTCATTCGGTTTTGCCCTTTATGTAATTTATGTGATCAAGACCTCAAACTTTCCCATTTATGATCTCTGAGGCACAGGTTGTGGGTCACTCACCCTCCAAGTAGGTCGGCTGTGTCACTCTGTTGGTTCATGTTCACAACTCGCAACCTGTGCCCTGGATTGAATGCAAAAATACAGAATATTTGAATCAGGAGTAGTGATAAACCATTTGTTGTCATGTACGTACGAAGCTATTTAGGGTACAAGGATATATCGACATGTGCTCAGAAAGAGAAGGCGATCAGAGCACCAACCTTGGGATTACTGGACCACCCATTCTCCCGGCTGACCCACACATGATCTCATTTGCTCTGTAGGTGTCTATGTATAAATGTGCACTCACCTGTGACTCTGGCCAGATGTTGTACAGTGGAAGTCTTTCCAGTTCCTGTTTCTCCCACCAGAAGAACAGGCTCTCCCTTGGCCACACACACTGCCAGCTGTTCCAGCAGCACAGAAGAGGGTTGTGTGGCAGCAAAGGTCTGCTTGTCCCTGTTCATAACAATAACATCTCACTCAGCGGTTACACAGTAGGTTGTATGCTTATAATTTACCAGCTGGTGTTTGGTTCATTAGCCAATTACTGGCACACCAACGAGCTAATACATCTATACAGTATGTATTGCATATATACTGTAAAATGAGGTCAAAGGTGGCAGCAGGGAGGATGCCCCACTTACACACTCAACTGCACCGCTTCAGTCTGCTTTCGAGCCAGAGTCACTCTGCCCACTGACACCTCCAGCTCAGTCAGTGAGATGCCAGGCTGATACATTTGACAGAAGTGCTGGGCCTGGAGATGAACAGTAGCCAGGAATCAAAATTACAATGTGTTTTTTGTACTAAAATGCAGATTACTATAGAAGTAAAGAATCCATCCAGCTCTCTTCATGTATGGGATCAATTTAATGTCAAAAATATTTCCTTATTTCTTTAAATTTGTCAATGCTATAACTGGCTACTTTGCACAAATGCAATATTTTGTCCTCCACATTCAATGTTTTGCCCATAAAGGCTTGACAAATACCTTCTCTTTGGAGATGTTGAGCTTGCTTCCAATGATCTCAGCCATTCTCAGTCGACTTTCAGCACAAGACAACATGGCTGTGAAGCAGTCAAGAGCCTAACAAAAAGAAAGACCACGAAAAGCCTTCAGTCAATAAAAATAATCCACACTGAATCACAGCAAGTTGTTTACTTACAAGTTTTGACATACCGACTTGAATCAGCAATACAATTAATTCTCCACTTGGGTAAATCCTAACAGCATGACTGAGCACTGCTAATCAAAACAGTACTAAATGCTATTTTGTTTCAGTCATGGGGGAAACATATTTCATCCTTTCTTTGTTTACTCTTCAAAAAATGAAATCCATTAACCTCTTGGAAGATATGTTGTGCTGTGGCAGAGGAGGTGCTATCAAAGTTCACACTGATCCGTTCACACCATTTCAGTAGGTCCCTGTGGAAACATAAGGAAACAAAATGAAACTAACATGTTCAACAGAAAAGAGGACCACAGATTTTGTCATGTTTATTCGATACAATCGTCTTCCTTGTCAAAACCTGGTGCCTGCATTACCCACAATGCATTTGGCGTCAGCTCATGCTGGAGAAACAAAAGGCCTTAATCAGGGAAAAATGTATACTGTTAAAAGGTGACCAGTTAAGCAATATACAAATAAGTATGAATGTAAACTTAAAGTATATGTACGGTATTTTATTCAGTATCACAAACCTTAATGACCTAGACCAACACATGCATATCACAGGCCAAGCTATGAAGTTAATGACATCGACCCATTAAAGCATGGAGACAGACCATGGACAACACAGACACATTGATGTATGGCTGAATCTTCATCAACACACTTTTCTAAGGACCACAGAAAATTTCACAGAGCAACGAGACAGCTGAGTCTCTTACATAATGAGACTTGAGAGAATTAGGAGATTCTGTGATTTCAGCCCATGGTCCAACAATCCATCGAACGCAGCAGTAACTATTGGAAACCTAATTGATGTCATGGAGGCTGCTGCTGCAGCCTGACTGATAGTTTTGAGTGGGGGGAGTGTGACAGACGTGGCTTTTTATACTTTTTATGTTTGCCTTCAGTGATGCTCACAGTCATGGAGCAATGGTGTAGAAAGGATGTTACATCTGTCTATCTTAACAGTGGAAGAATAAAACCACATGGTCAGCATGCATATAAAACTTATAGTAAATTAGAAAATCAGCAACAAACAGCTGAATGTGAACTGCTCAATCTAATGTTTTATTCTGAAGTCACAATCTCAAGATAAATGACTTTACTGTAGCAATATCAAAAACAAACACAAAGGAAAGCACAGAGAGAGCAGAGAAAATAGCGAGCTGAGCCTGACCTTAGTGACAAGACTCTCCCCTCCAGCGGTGTGCTTTTGTCTGCAGATCTGTGCTGCTGAATGTTGTCAGGACTTTGGAGGCTGCTTGTGTCCAGGTCAGAGTGTCTCTCCCCAGTCAGCTGGCAATAGATATCCAAGAGGCGCTCTGCCACCACCAACAGCCCAGGATACCTACTGGTAAGAACCTAAACACAAAGAAACAGGGCAAACTAAGAATAAACAAGATCATTTCTGTAATCACATACAGTGCCTTGCGAAAGTATTCGGCCCCCTTGAACTTTGCGACCTTTTGCCACATTTCAGGCTTCAAACATAAAGATATAAAACTGTAAGTTGTTGTGAAGAATCAACAACAAGTGGGACACAATCATGAAGTGGAACGAAATTTATTGGATATTTCAAACTTTTTTAACAAATAAAAAA